CAAGTCCCTGTTCTAACAGGGCTTATGGTCAATATAGAATATTCTAGTGTAGGTTAAAAAGCTGTGATCAAACATTAGACAGTCATGGTTTAAACCCTGGCTGTACCACTGAAGCAGCTATGTGACCTTGACAAGGCTACTTGGCTGTTCTGTGACTGTTTCTTCATCTATAAAATGAAGATAACAATTATCATTAGGTTTGTTGTTAGGATTAAGTGAATAAATAAATCTAGTGATCCTAGAATATTTCTGGTACATGAAAGGTATAATTTAATTTGCTTACTATTTGAATTAAATCATTTTTGAGCTGTTTCTCAAGAATGAATTTTTCAAATCAGACTAACATGAATTAGAGATCATAAGCAGTATTAGCCTAAACTAAATAATTTCAAGGGTTCAAACAAAAGGATTAACCAAAGGTTCAAAATAATTGCTCTCCAGGTCTTTCTTTCCTGTAAAAGTCACATCCCTCTAGCCCAGAATAGACAAAGCCCCCAAGTGAGGCCTACATAGTTCCTCACATAGTGGGTAGTGCTTCAATTACAAAACATCTGCAATTTATACCCCAGCACTGGACACACTATATGCCATTCTCCAGGAAGCCATGCCTTATAAACTCTGCTTCTATCTATCATAGGTGATTCTTAGTCAGATATCCTACTAAGGCACAAAGACATCCCTCCTCCTTCTAACAAATATCATTATTTCCCAGGGGAGGTAGAATTGACAAGGAGATTAGACCTGCTCACTTTTTATGGACTCAATGTTGTGCCTTCTTCCCACCCCAAATTCATGTGTTGAAGCTCTAACATCTAATGTGGTGATGTGTAGAGATGAGACCTTTGGGAGGTAATTAGGGTTATACAGGTCATGCAAGTGGGGCCTTCATGATAGGATTAGCTGACATATAAACTGTGGATTAGATTAACTATATCTCTCCTTTACTCTCTTCCCCCTAACACACACTGAGAAAAGTCCACGTGAGGACATAGTTAGAAAGCAGCTGTTTGCAAGCTAGGAAAAGAGCCATCACCAAGAACCAAATTGGCTGGCATCTTAATCTTGGCCTTCTAAGAACTGTGAAAAATGTTTCTCATAGAACTCCAGAACTGTGAGAAATACATTCCTACTATTTAAGCTACCCCTGCGATGGTATTTTGTTATGGTAATCCGAACTGAACTAAGAAACCCCTTTTTGCTTCTTTCCCTCAATGTCTCTCCCTGGTGAAAGGACTAAATGAGCAAACGTATTGCAGTCCAGGTTATTTCACAACTTTCACCTATCTTTTTAAAAAACAACAACAAAGAACTCTTTTTTAAAGTAAAAGGAGGAGATACATCTGTTATACTCTTATTTCCATGCAGCCCCTCAAAGGCATTCTTTTAGTTTATAATTATAGTAAAACTTATACTTGGCTCCAAAATCAAAAGAACATAAAACGTCTAACCTCTATCCTTGATACCATCTGCCCAATTACACCAGGGCCCCAACCAATTTTACTGATTTTTGGAGAAAACACCTTGCTTTACCTTGGAATTTTCACCTAAAAATATTGTGGAGAACTTTTTATACCAATTAAGGAGAATTTCTTCATTCTTTTCCATAGCAGCTTAGTCTCCTATGATATGGACATTCTGTAATTGTACTGTAATGATCCAAGGTTTAAAAGATGTTTTATAATATGAGCTGTTGAAATTGACAACTATAACACATCTCTATGGCATGTTCCTATGTCATTCATTCTATATTCAGTGTTGTCTGTGTTCTGAGGCTTTTATTATTTTTTAAATTGTTGCAATACATCAACATGAGATCTGTCCTCGTAACACATTTGTAAGTTTATAATGCAGTATGGTTAACTACAGGAACACTATTGTACAATAGGTCTGTAGAATTTATTCATCTTACATAACTGATATTTTATAATATAGTATCCTCTCTGTTTTACATAAGAGCATCAACATGGAAATAAACAATTAAAGTTTTCTATATCCGTAAAATTCCCAATGGCCTGATTCTGCTCTGTCAAAGGAAACTTGTAACTCAGCATTTGTCATTCCCATGATAATAATGCCAAGAAGACACTCTTCTATTTTAGCCCAATAAGAGAAGTAAACTCTTCCAGTGTTTTGACACTCAAACAAATATTGACTTGATTGCATGATAGGTAAGGAACTCATTTTTAAATTTGCCATATTCCTTTTTTTTTAGCATTATAAATATATAAATTTCTTTTAGTGTTGAATAATTGAATATATGGGGACCTATCTATTTGAATAGGGCAAATGATGAATGATGCACGCTTCAGGGTCAGATGGATACTGTGTAGGTTCCATACAAAATAGATTTGTCACCTTAGGTAAATTCACATAAGCCTCAATCTCCCTGTAATTTGAGGACATAAAATTTAGGTAGGCAGGTTGTGAACAGGATCAACTGATATAATGTATATAAATCACATTATATAGTCGTTACTTAACACATGGTAGCTTTCATCATCATCATTATCATCATCATATGCATCTATTTTATTCTGTACTAGATTCTGTATAGATGCTGGGGAACAACAATGTATATAACAACATACTTCCTCTAAGAGCTCACAGTATAGTAGCAAAGGCATACCAGCACAGAAAAAATAGCTTTTATCTATGACAAAAAACAATACACCAATAGATTGTATACTATGCTCTAGAGAAGTAAAAAGTGTTCTGAAAATGGCAGTTTGTAGAGAAATGATCTTAAGGAGGGAAAAAGATCAAGATATTTCCATCAGAAGAGATAGCATATATTTCAAATTCAGTTATCAGAATATAAAGACATAGACAACACTGAAACAATGCTGTAGTTATTTTAATTTGGTGTTGAAATAAGGCTCTTGGATCTGATAGTACCTTTGAGTCTCAACAGTTTATTCTCAATTCCATAGATAGATCTAAGGGTACCAAGAGTGGATATATCCTCTGATCCTGAGGTTTGCTCTCCATGTTTGTTAAATATTTTCCCCCATACAGGCAAAGTGTAAAAGGCGAAGGGGAAAATGGTGATCCCTATTCATTTTCTGAACAGGAAACAGAAATCTACAGGTGCTTTTTTTTTTTTTTTTTTTTTAAGGCACTTAAATGTCAAGAATATTATGCTGTGGATTACCACGACTGCCTACACATACATCAAAAACTCAAAGCAAGTGAAAAAGACTTCGCTATGGCTGGTACATGACTTTCTACAACATTTCCTACCACTGTAAGGCACCCTTCAGGCATTAAAATTAATGAATGTGTGAATAACCTATGTTTATTTTAAAGAGAAACTTTAGTTGCAGACAGTAGCCTGCATACCAACAACAACCAAGAAAGAAATTTCAAGTCAGAACCTTTTTGGAGAAGAGGCGGCTCTAAATTCTGAATTTTCTTGAACCAAGTGAGTCTCTTGATTACAGCTCTGCAATTCATGTCTTAATTGTCTGCCAGAATATTTTTATTGGTAATTGGAGGCTGATATAATCAGAAATAATAAGTTAAAGATGGCCTTTTGTTGGGTATATTTTAATTCTTATTCCCACTTCATTATCAGGAACAGTCATTTAATAATTAGAAATGAGAATTAGAACTCGAAGAAGCATCAAACATTGTGGCAAGCAGACAACGTATAGATTCATACCAGGTTCCAAAACACTGCCGAACATCCCCCTCTTGAAAGGCTGCAAAAGAGTCAATGTCAAAGATACATTTTAGGAAATCAAACCAAAAAACTCACTCCTGGCAAACTAATATGCACGCAAATAAAATGCCTCTTTTTATTCCTGAGCATCTCACCACCGAATTCATTATTCACTTCTTCATGCAAGCTGCGCGGTTTAGCTTCAAGCTCTTCTCTTAATTGCACCAGAAGTTAAGTCTGGGCGTTGGATACACACTCTAAATCCTTACGCGTGGGTCTGTGAGCAGCCTTGAGCAGCTGAGCAAGTTAGTGGGAGGGTATCGCCAACTGTCTGCTAGCTCCAAGTGGCAGTCTCCATGGATCCATCACCCCTAAACCCACAGCTCCTGTCAGTGCCTCCGATAGAATCCGCTCAAATAGAATCCAACCAGGTTCATCCCTGAAATTCAGACCTGTACCTGAAGTTACCGGTCCGGAGCCCCTGGGAGCCGCAGCGCTCACCGTGGAATATTCTGGATCGATTTCAGAGCTGTGAGTGGCGCTGCTTGCTAGAGGTCATCCTACAAGTTTCATCTTTTGTATTAAATCTTCACTTCTGTGACTCCATGTTTGGCGCTCACGTACTCGGTTCCCGGCAAAGTCAACAGCCTTCAGACTTGAAGAGGAACAGTCAAGAGCTCCTTTGATTCGGAGGAGATTCTCGATGGAGACTTTGGCGGTGGGTGGCAGAGCGGTGCACCCGGCGCCAGAGCAAAGGAATCTGGCGCCATCTCCAAGCTGGGCAACTTCGCGTTTTCCGCTAGCAGGTCCCAAGCTATAGGTATTCACGAAGCCCCAGACGGGAGGAACCCTCAGCAATCTTGTCTGTCCCAAGCTTGAAAAGGCATGGTAGTGCCCTATTGGAATAGAGACTGCGCGGAGCACAAATGCAAACCTTGGTTAAAAAAAAAAAAAACACAAAAAAACGGGCAAAAGTTTACTTTCTGTAAGCAATTAATTCCTGCAGCGCAGGCCCATTCCAGGTACAGCAAACTTCTGGGAAGCTCCTTTTATGGGAGCTGTGGATGACCCGGGGCGCTTCTAAGAGCAATGTCTCTCCTGCTTGGGGCGCCCCAGCGGTGATTCCTCCCGGACGTCGAGGGAAGAAAAAGAAGTTGGGACAGGAGCTAGCCAGAGACCCGGACAGCTACTCCCGGTGCAAAACCTTGGAAATGGCTGCTAAAGGGGTTGGGTCTCCAGACTTCTAATCCCTCCTCTTTCTCCAGCTGAGCCTTTCACCTGCTACCGTCCAGTTTACAATATAAGCGTAGACCCTAAATTAACCCAGTTCCAAAAGCTAAGCATTACAATTCCCTAAGAAAGTCATTTTAAAAACATCTAAGTGAGTTTCGGGAGCTCCTTAGAGGAAATGTTACGGAGGCAAGGAAAGGTGGGATGAGAGGGGATTATGTCCACGAAGCGTTGTGTAGGCCCCTCTATTCGAAGTACCTCGGGGAGTCCCTCAGCTCCCTAGCGATCTGCTGCAGCCACTTCAATTCTCCACTACAGAAGGGGCGGAGGTGGCCCCTGGGGAGTGGCGATGGGAACCGGGCTAATCTTTAGTCTGGTGACCTCTCGCTGGATACCGAGGGAGTGTAACTGGCCTCATGAAAACAGCCAGGAAGTCGAAACGCCAGACAGGGCAGAGAACGGAGAGGTGGCCCCACGGACTTAAAGGCATGCAGCGAGGAGCTGCCTGCCTGCAATCAGCTAACTAGTGAGGCTTGATTGAATCTACCTGTCCTCAGCAGCCTTGGAACCCCTACCCCTCTTCACGTCTCCCGACTTTTCGTTCGCGAGTGGCCCGGGGCCGCGGGCACAGGGCTGGGCGTGCGTGTGTGTGGCTGTGCGCGTGCTGGTGTGCGCGCCAGTGTGGGTGCGCAGCCCAAGCGCGGAGCCGGGCCGCCGAGCCCAGCCGCCAGCCCGGCGCCCCTCCTTGCAGCTGCCTCCTCCAAGCCGCCTCACCTGGCGCCCGCCGCCCGCCGCCCGCCCAGCCCCGCGCCGGCGCTGCCTCTGTTCAAAGTTTCCCCGGCGCAGACACCTCCGCGCTGCAGCAGCCCAGGGAGACGGCGTTCTGAAGCTGTGCCTTGGAGTGGCCCTTCTGACAACACCTCTCCGCCTCGTCCCCACCTAATTCAAGCAGAGAGTAGAAGGTTTTCCAAATTGAGGGGAGAGAAGGGGGAGGGGCATACCGAGGGAAAGAGAGGAGCGGCGTTAACTGAGAATATCCTGCCTGATGCCAGGGGATTGACTGACGTGTCTGTGGGGTTACGGAAGAAAACTGAATTGGCAGCCAAGTTGGCCGAGGAGGGGCTGGGTCCGGGTGCCAGGAAGGTGGTCCCGGTCTCCGTTTCCACTGGCGTGAAGGCTTGGAGGCGCCTCTACAGTGAGCTTTTGAACCGCCATACCCTCCCAATCCCTTGGAAAGGAGGGGCCGGCAGAGCTGAGGAGGGGGTAGTCCAGAAAAAGCCCCTGGACTTGTGTGCGTCGCATCCTTGGCTTGGGATTTTAAGGACACGAAGAAGAATTAACAGCGCCTGAAGGTAAGAGGCAGCAAAGCCGCTGCTTGAATTGCCAGAGACAATAACTTAAAATAGATGTTGGGGATGGGGTGGGGGCTAAGCCAAGTTAGGAGGATCTCTCCCGGCTGCGCCACGCGATCGCACGACCTTTGCTGGTGAGTCGGGGAGTAGCCGGTGCCGCGCTGCCCAGCCGTGAGGCAGGAAGCCGGAGGAGTGTCCTGTCCTTACAGTTTCTGAAACCTACTGAAATCGATTTCCGGCTGGGCTGTCTGTCGAGGTTGATATACAGCGTGGATTTGGTTTTTGGGTTTTAATTTTTTTTCCACAGAGGTTTTTTTTTTTTAAATTAGCACCGCAGAACCACCCCCTGGTTGCCCTAGAGAGCTGTGGGCACCGGTGAACGCAGCTAGGACGCGGTGGCAGGTGAGCCTGGCGCAGGTGGGCAGGTGGGGGCGGCGGCGGCACCGGGCCGGCGGACTCGGGGGCGCGCGAAGCCCACGCTGCCGCCTGGCCGGCTCCTGCAGCCGGCGTCGGAGCCAGGGCGCAGCGGGTCGGCTGCGGTTCCCTCCGCCTCCGCTAGGGGCTCCCAGCGGGCGCCGCGAAGCGGGTGGGTGTGGGGGCGCCGGGAGGCGGCGGGGCGAACGCGGAGAGCCAGCGTGCCCGCGGGGTGGCGGAGCCCGCGCGGCAGGGGCGGGGGACGTGAGCTGGAGTCCGGGCGCGCTTCCTAGCTCCGCGCCGCGCTGCGGGGACGCGAGTCCGAATCCTGGCTGAGCTCTGGAAAGCTGTGCCTGGAACTGGAGCCACTTCGGGGATGAGATCCTGGCCCGCGCCCCGAGGGCAGCCCCGGGAGGTAATGCTCTCTTTCTCCTCTCCCCTTTCGCCCTTTGGATCTCTGTAAATTCTCAGTCAGATACTCAGGGTGGGAGGGAGTGAAGGGTGAGAGCGAGCCTATGGGGTCTCTATCTGAAAAGGTGCCTTTCAGTGTCGCTCCGTGGTGCTCTGGTGTATGTGTATTCGAACTAATGGCCAATTTCGCCCGCCTCTCTTGAATATTTGCCGGCTTTAAGGGAAGTTTTTTGCGGAGAACACTGGGTGGCTGATCTGGGCCGGCTGCTCCGAGGTGAGCGAGGGTACCTGCTGTGCCCCCTCTAAGCCGCAGTGGACTGGAGTGCAAGACTCCAGGGATGGGGTGTGGTGGAGAAAACGAGTACCACACCCTCTTCTTTTCCTCTCCTTTCCTCTTCACCTGCTGGTAAAGTCTCCCTATTCAGCATTTTGCTGATTTCCTTTCCTGAGGGATTGGCTCAGAGAACAGAGAAAAGCTGCTGAAATACTTGGGTGGAGAGAGAGAGAGAGAGAGAGAGAGAGAGAGAGAGAGGAAGAAGGAAGTCATGGCCTGAGGATCAGAAGAGAAAGGGGGGCGAAGTTAAGCTTGTGTGTTTGAGGTAGGGGAGCAAGTGCTGGGAAATGGCCTTGGAGTTCAGTTTATTTGATGAAGTCAGATTCATTTCACATTTCACACTTTGACATAATCCAGTTTGCTGAAGCCACTAACAGATATCATCTGTGCTATGTACTGCCTTGGGCTCAGTGGGCACTAAATATGTTTGATGACTGTGCCTAGATAAAGGGAAGAGTGCTTGTTGTGTTTGGTTGGTGTTATTACCCCCGTGTCTGTCAGACAGCCGGCAATGTATGTATTTTTCAGTGTGCTGTGCTGTGTTTGTGCATAGCATATGTGGTCGTTTTACACTCAGTAATGCAATTTCAGGGTCTTCTAAAGGTGGCTCTTAACGAACACGAATATTTAGAATAATACTAAAGGAAGACTAAAAATTACCATGGGGCATGGAATATTAACAGGAATACTAAATAGAAGCTGAGATCCATCGTTTGTTAAAATATCGGGCCACATGCTGAAAGGGCAAAAAATATTTTTCAGACATTGGAAGCAGTGGTTAACATTTTTATAGAAGGAGATGTTCTTCAGTGTCCTGTCACCATCACCCAGTAGCATGCATTACTTCCAATACAGTTGGAGTGTGAGGAAGAAAAAAATGCACTTCCTGTTCAAGACCAGTAAAATGTTTTGAGATCTGCCAGGTATTTCACCTTAAGAATTTAAATGGAATGGATTTCCTATTGATGGCAGAAGTGATTTAGTTATGTAAGGCATCTATTATTTTTGATTACGATACATATATAAATTAATATTTTTATATAATAGATTTACTGTAGTGGAAATGGAAGCAGGACAATTTATTGATGGTTTTCATTCCTGAATAACACATGTCATTGTCTCAGCGAAGATTTATATAAAGTTTGTCATTCATGTGTTATATTGGTTGGTTCTCTGGGTGGAAGGCAAGAATATATATCTTGATGAAGCCCCAAAAGGATGGCTTATGTTCTTAAAAGCCACTGTTTTAGAAATGTTTATGATATGAAAAAATGATACTCATCTAAATATAGGTACTACATATATAGAGAATAATCATGTATTTGTTGAATTAAATTAACCAAGACAAATACATATTTAGGGCTCAAATGTATTTCTGAAAGACACTTCTAAAACCAAAAGAAGATCTGCTATGAAGATTGTGTGTATATGATGCATAAAGGAAGTTTTGTTTCTAGACATTTAATCGAATCAAACTAGTGAGGTTGGTTTGTAATCTCAAATTCAGTTTTAGGACTCCATCTCTAAAGATGCTTTCCTCTATAATAAATGTGATTTTAAAAGAGATCAAACATTGAAATGTTCCAAAGCTGCTGTGGACCAGAATACCATTTGAGTCCTCTGAAACTTCATGTCAAGAATAAGAAGTGATAGGAAGTTGTCACAAATTAATTGGCTTGATGCTTCAATTAATAACTGATCATTATCTGGCTCTGGTAGTCATTATGGTTGATTTCATTTGGTCTCTGGATATTCTATGAAAGGACTCTAGGTGGAAATGTTTTCCTGTAGTACAAGGAGAGGGGGTCACTACATGCAAACAGGCTTGTCAGTTACTGATTCTCCAATTTGGTTGTCTTGTATCCTTAAGAAAGCATGTTAAATTGAAAAGAAAAAAAAACATCAATTTTCTCAATTTACCTAAATATTTATCTTGGTCATACCCCTCAACCAACTTCTGAGTACTCTGTAATTTTTGTTGACATATGTCACCAAGCCAATCCCCTTTATGGTTTAGTGGCTACTTTGATGTTAATACATTTAAAAACTATTTAAGCATAAAATACCATATTTCCTGAAAGAAAATAAATTGAATTTAAAAAGAGTATTGGGTAAGGAAATTAAAGGAGAATAGGAGGGAAAGGTTAAATATCAGGTATCAGGCTTACCTATCTAATGGCATATACTTCTGTGATTTTTTTTTGTTATGCTTCTAAAGAAATTCTCCCTCCCTTTCATCCTTGCTTGCTTTCTCCCTTCCTTCCCCCCTCCCTTCCTTCTTTTTCTTTCCTCTCTTTTTTCCTTAAAAATATTTTCTTTGGAATGAAATCCATGATAATTTACAGTTATTTTACAATGGTAAGTCCGTAATTTATTTTTAAATGGGTGATAGTCTTTAAATGTGAAGATTGTTGCATTTATTTTTTAATTTTATACAAAAATTGACAGGAAGGTAAGTTTGGGTCTTCAGGGAGTCCGCGTGAGTCATCAGTTGATTATTATCTCTTAAATTGTAAATGTATCTTGTGTCTGGCTACAACTTCACTGCCTCTTGTTTCTGGGAAGTATGAAAACATGGATAGATATTCATTTGATATAGATGGACAGCCTAAGAATGTGATGCATTTGTGCTTTGAGTGGCTTATTTTCATATGATTAATACTCTGTGAACAAATTGATCGATGTAATCAAATATGTAATGTTCGTATTCAGCAAGTAGTAGAGTCACACTTGTCAGTGTATATCGGTTCAGAAATTAATAACCTATTTTAGGAAACCTTAACTTCATATAAACCTTAATAAAAGTTACTTTTTTAAAAAAAGTGGTACCACTCAACATATACAGTTGCTGTTATCTGTTCTTAAATGTCCTCAAGAGAGAAAATCCTAGTTCTAAAAATCTCCCAAGAGAGACTAATTCGGTGCCACTGGGAGGCAGCATGAATAAATAGAAAAAGCAGTTGATCTGACACCAGCAGACTGGAATTCTACTGTTTCTCATGACTAGCAGTGTTGCTTTTGAAAAGCTGTCTTGTTTTTACTAAGGCTCAGTGTTGATTTCTGTACAATGGGAATATTTAATATCTAGTCTATTTTTGTGTTTAAAATTTGATAACAGCTAGCTTTAAGCATTAGAAAAAGAAAAAACTTTTATGCGCAAGTAAATGTCTGGCATTGTAGCACTTGATAGAAGAATAAATAAAACATATTTAAAAATGTTTATAAAACTTCAGTAATGTAGCATGGATTTTGATATGCCTTTGATGAGAGAAATATTTTATCTCAATAAGCTATTAGCATGTATCATGAAAGTAAAATTTAAATTAATATGTATGTATGGGAGATGATTTTCTCAAAGTTATTAATATGGCACACATTTTGTGATATATGGAAATCTTGTAATGTTTATTGTATGGGCCATAAAAGTTCATTTGGCCATTTGTGCTGTTCTTAAAGTTTTGATAACAAGGAGGAGGCAAAGGAAAAACAGTTAAAATATTCTTTAATAATAGAGTCTCCTGGTTTTTTGTTTTTTGTTTTTTTTTGCAATTCTACATTTTTCTTCTTCTTGTGAGTATACTTTATATGACACAGGTGGCAACTATCCTTGCTTTCATTACTGTCAGGTCAGTTACCCAATTTTTATGAACACAAAAAATATTTAATGTGTGGAATGCTTTGTTCAGTGATTTAATCTATTGAACACAAACCTAATATACTATCTTAGGTTTTTACAGTGGAATTTGCCCAGGACTCAAACTATTTGTCCTATTTTATTTTATTGGCTTTAATGCCAATAATATTAGTTATAAGTTATTTTCAACATGTGAATTAGGTAGAA